GGGGGGGGGGGGGGAGTTTGAGGTGAATGAATCTTGGATCCGATTGGTGTAGGTTCCTTCATTTGATTGTGTAATTATTAGGGGAAATTAGATCCTAGGTAATCATATATGATTCTTCTCGCTCGGTTATTTCACTCAATTTAAATTATGTTGCATATTTCCTCTAGAAAAGAATTATGATATCAACATTATGTTAAACTCGCCCTTTTTTAACCTTTGGGGTTGATTTTTGTTTTGTCTGAGGAAGTTGTATTTAGATGGAGTCTTCTTTCTGGTCGTGGAGAAGAGAGTTCTGAAATTTGTGCACAATTCTTAGCTAGTTCCTATAGTAGTGTGTTTTTGATGGAATGTGTTTATGTGATGGTGGATAAAAGAATTCTTGACAATGGTAGTCTCAATTGAACACGAAGAGGTCAATGTTTCAGCTAGTTCTAAACTGTAACTTTGGTAGTTGATGACAGAGAGTAGGATAAGCCTTGGCTGACTGATGATTAACATTTCGAAATTCTGATGTCATGTAATGTTTTAAATGATCTTGTATATCTTGGAATTTCTTTGAAGTTAAGAATGGAAAGGTGGGGATTGATTTGATAATTTTAGAGGAAAATGGTGAAATGATGCTATGCCTATTAAGATGGGTTTGTCTGCAAGTAGTTTCTAGTTTGTATTTCTTGAGTTGTGCTATTGTGGCATGTTTTTTTTCAGTTTTCTATGGCATCCTTCATGCTGACATTTCACATTTTCCTTTTTAATCAGTCACTACAAAACAGTATTGAAGGAGGGGCAAAATGGTTGGTTAATAAAATTAAAGGTTTGTTTGGTTTTTCCAGTATTTGTTGTTTTTTGTTTTCTATTTTAGCATGTCATGTGGAAAAGATTATTTTTGTCTGTGATGTTTATATGGTGCATGCTAACATGCCTGAGATAGGAAAAGACTTTAGAACTCTGACTTAGAACCAGCTCATATTATCAATTATCTCGGTCACAATGAATAAGCAGGAAAAGAAGATAATTAGCTTCATGCTAATGATTTAGATGGGTCACTTGTAGGGAGAAGAATGCTTCACATTTTCTTATGTTTCCTAAGATCTTATATACTTTGTTAAGTTGGGGAGCAAGCTGACATGAAAATACTTCCTGTTCCAAAATTATGCTCTGTTTGTTAACATACTGTTTAAGGAAGTATAATATTAAATCATAAATGCTCCTTTATACTTTCTATTTGATTATGTTCTAGTAAAAATACTAAGAGTATAAGTTTAGTCATTAATGCTACAGAAAAAGTGGTATAGTAATTGATAAGAAACAATAATTATTCTTTTGATTTTTTAAGTGAGCAAAATTGTGGAGCACATGTAGTATAACATTAATGACCGTAAATGTTGGTGTAATGAATTTGCTAATTTGGAATTTTGTATCGTATCACCCAAAATATAATATTACACTGACTAAACATCCTAGCACTTCCTATTTAGCACTCAAAAGAAGCTGTATAAATTTAGCTACAAATTAATAAAATGAATTTTAGGTTGCTATGAGTAGTGCATTGCTGCTACCATGTAATTTAAAGTTTTCAGGTTATGGTTCTGTTGTACATTGCTGCTGTTATGTAATGTGAGTTTTCAACTTTATGTTGGGAGCTTTTCCTGAATTTACTATAGAATAAATTAGTATAATTTTTCAAGGAGACAATTCTTTTACAGGAAAAATGCAAAAGCCATTGCCTGAACTGCTGAAGGAGTATGGCCTTCCTATAGGAATTTTCCCTCGTGATGCCACCAATTATGAATTCAATGAGGAGACAAGAAAGCTTACTGTCTTCATTCCCTCAATATGTGAAGTGGGTTATAAGGACTCATCTGTCCTTCGCTTCTTTACCACTGTAACTGGATATCTGGAAAAAGGGAAGTTAGCTGATATTGAGGGTATGAAGACAAAAGTGGTGATATGGGTAAAGGTAACTTCTATCTCAGCTGATGGATCAAAGCTCCAAGTTACTGCAGGGATGAAGAAGGCCCGGAGTAGGGAGGCTTATGAGGTTCTTAGGGATGGTGTAAGTATAGATAAATTTTGAAGCAGTCAAAATCCCACCCTGCTCTATCATTGCGAACTGGAACTCCTTTGTCAAAGCTTAGTATAAAGACTAGTTTGGTTGGGACTTGTATTTCCTGCGAATATTGGTTGTTAATAATGTGTTACTCCATGGTATCATGTTTATCATTTCTCTTGATATACAATTAAGTTCTATATGAAGTTTTTGTCAATGTGTAAAGCAAGTGTTTCAAGAGGTCTCCAAAGCTGCCCTATTTCGAGATACCCTGTTTGCAGGCTAGAGGATAGATGAAAAGCTTCTACCAAGGAAAGAAAAGGATTAGCTCTATCTTTTAGTCATTACCGTAATCCTTTAACCCTAAAAATAGATTTAAGAGGGAAAAGCCTTTCATCCTGCACCAGCCGGGAATCGAACCCGGGTCTGTACCGTGGCAGGGTACTATTCTACCACTAGACCACTGGTGCTTGTTGTTGCTAAATTGTGCAAAGTGTTTCTAGAAAAACGTTGGCAACTCTCGCTCCTCTACTTTTCTTCCTCCATCCCTCGCCTCTTTTTTTTTGAACATATCCCTCGCCTCTTATTTCCTCGTAGCAAATGAAGAAACTTTACGTCAACTTTGGTTAAGCGTAGTTTATTGATTAATTCAACAACAGTGCTTGATCTGATTACAATTAATGGCATACTTTCAAATCCACCTTTTCAAATACATAACAACAAATCAACGAGGGTTGGATGAAGTGGTAAGCGACTTGTTTCAGTTTAAGCAAGATCTCGAATTTGAGTCCTTGTGTACGCAGCAGTCCCCGCTGAGAGACTTAACCACCATTTTCAAGTGTGTGACGCGGGTCGGGTCTGGATTAGTAGAGGCGAAGCCTCGGATACTGAGCGAGAAACCAAAAAAAAAAAATACATAGCAACAAATTTATTTTTTTAAAAAATAAAGATAAATTATTTTTTAAAAATTATTAATTAAAACAAATAATTTGTTATTTAATTTGTAATATTATCACATGTTAAAAATTTATTTATTATTTAAATATATTTTAATAAAAATTAAATAATAAATAATTTATCATAATTAATAATTTTAAAAAATAATCTTCTTTTTTTTAAGTGATGGATCTATTCCAGCGCTTTTATTTGAGGGAAAAGATTTGAGGGTTTTGCGACAAGCAATTGTGGAAGTACAAAACACAGCACCCCCAACAGACATACAACATCAATATTCTTCATCCCTTAGTGGCTGTAGTTGAGTCTTTGGAAGAAAGACTTCGATGCTTCGTAGGTAGACCAGCAGATGGCGGCGGCCGGAGCATGGAAGAGCATCCTCGGAATCCATCCCCTCATCAGCCCTCTGTATCCATCCTTCTTCACAATCGTCTCGATAACATTCCCAATTGAACTACTGGAAAATCTGTCACACCCACAAACTCCCTGTGTACCCAAAACAGAACATATTCAGTAAAACGGAGGAAGAGAAAAACAGAGATTTTGAATATGTTCTCTGTTCTCACCTGACACTGCAACTGGGTCTTAACTACATCAAGTGGGGTTGTGATGGCGGCCGCCAGAGCACCTGCAGCAGCACCGGCGGTGGCATGAACTACCAGTCTCTCATCGCTCGCGTTATCCGGGGACACCTCCATCAACCCACGTTTTGCCGCTTCGTAAGTAGCGAAGTGGACGGCAGTAAATGGTGCGTTCATGATTACAGTAGTTCTGTACGACGCGTAGAACGCTCCGATGCCCTCCTCCACCAGCACCCGTTTCACGCAATCCGCGACTCCCTTGTACGGACTACTCTGTAATTGAAGTCTCTGTTTCACCATGTCCATCGGCGTGATCACGGCGTCGCTGGTGACCGTGGCGAACACACCGGAAACGGCATGGGCAATCGGGTTGTTCGGGTCGCCACGGGACAGAAATTGTTTAGAGAATTCGTAAACTGAAAAGTATACGGCATGAGCGGGTCCCGCGCCAAGTCCCATGGCGCCTATTCCACGGTATAGCCCAGAGGGGCCCTCGAGCTTTAGGATTGAGCCGAGGGCTTGACGGACCCCGACAGGCTGAACCGGGCAGGAAGCCCCGAGAGCCTGCATCCTGGTCTTAAGAGTGTCAACAGGGAACATAGACATGTGCTCGATGGAGCCCGCAATAGACCCTGCGATCATGAACTGCCAGAACTCAAGGCCATCGTGCGATGGTGAAGGAGATATTATGATCTCAGGGTGAAAATCCGGCGGCGGTGGTACAGTCCGATATTGTGGGGAAGCGTCAGTGGCCATGGCTACGACGGGTAACGAATTCCTAAAGCGCGATTAATATAAGGTGAGGAGTTGGATCGCTTTCGGAGTGGAAGAACAAGGATTTTATCGTGCACTGATATTCCATTATTTTATTTTATTTTGTTTATTTTGGAACTTAATTTCTAAAAAAAGTAGAAAATGACTTATATGTATTCCCCTACGTGGCCCGCCTGGCCACGCTGCTCAGCAGCAAAGTGGAATGCCCTTTTGATCTTGAGGTCGAATCTTTTCAGTGCTGAATAAATGCTAATTTAATCATATAATTTTTATTGTCAAAAAAAAAAAAACTTATATTAGTATTTATCAGTTAAAAGTTTAAAAATTTTATTTAAAAAAATAAAAATATTAAGTTATTTTACGGAGTAATAAAATATTATGAAAAAAAGAAACTAAAAAAATATTATTACTTTAAAAATATTTTATTTTAATTTTGTTTAATAAAATTTTATCAAAACCATATAATTTTGTCTAGGTGTGACAATTGTTCCGTTAACTTTGGATTTTACTTTTTAAGTGTTCAAATCCATTAGAAGAGTTTAAACAACTAAATCTTACTTTTAAAGATATTTTGTCCTTTTTATGTGAAAACCCCTAAAAGTTTAAGGTAATAGGGTAATTAATCAAGTTAAGCATGCAGAAGAAAAGAATCCACAAGGCAGAGTTCAGATCAACTACATTCTCCTAGTTTTTATGTTGGGAAACTCCAACCAAGCAAAGCCCACAAGTTATAGTTGTGCAAAAACACATTAAGTATATACACATATCTAAAGATAAAATCATATGTTAAGTTCTTAAACTAATCTTAGATTTGTTATTGAGCCCTTAGACGTTAATTAATACATATAAACCCCTAAACTCTACTATTTGAGCAATTTAACACTTAATTATTTAACTATCTTGAGAAGAAAAGCTAAATTGCTCATATCATGAAATTTAAGGATTTATATACATTAACTAAAGTTTAAGGACTCAATTGCAAACTTAAGGTCAGTTCAAGGGCTTAACATATGACTTTGCCCATATTTAAGTATAGTGCCTTGAAATGGAAGCCTCCTAAGTAAATCAGCGGCGGAATCAAGAGGCAGATGGAAGGTCGGGTTTTTACTTTTCAATCATAATTCTACATTTCCTTTTGTTTTGTACAATGAAATTTTAGATAGGGCATTTGATATTGTTTTTCTTTTATAGTGTTAATTTACACAATTTTATTTATAATTTTTTTGATATTTAGGATAAGATTTATACTCAATCTCTTTCATGTAATTTTACTATTAAATTAAATATTGATCAGATAAATATAGACAAAAGTTTAAAAAGAATAACATTGGATTATGTTGT